TGTCTCTGTGATAGGATGAGTTCTTTGGGTATATGCCAAGGAATGGTATAACTGGGTCAAATGGTAGGTTCATTTGTAGTTTTTTTAAGAGTTCTCCACACTGCTTTCCATAGGGGTTGAACAAGTTTGCAGCCCCACCAGCGTACAGTGTATGCTTTTTTTCTCCACCCCTAAGTGAATTACTACTCTAATAAGAATTTAGTCAATCATAGTCAAACTTAGGAGAGCAAAATAATCCCCATCCCAATATCAGTTTTACTGTTTTTAAGCCACCAGCTTTCTTTCTTCCTTATTTTTTAGTTATAAAGCAATGATTATATTAAGACATTTTCAGATATACATCTGAAAAAAATATATATATATGAGATATGTATATCTCTTGTACCTTGTTCATATTCAACCCTCATCTTCTCTCATCCCACCTTGTCCTGTCTTGCTGGTCCCTTCCTTTCCTCAGATAGTCCCCATTCTGCATTCTTGTCACACTACATGTTATATGTGTAGAGAATTAAATCTAGATTCTACATATGAGAGAAAACATCCAATGTTTTGTCTACCTCTCCCCATTACCATCTTTTAGACCTCTTCTTCCTCCCTTATAGTCCCATTCTACTTTTATGTAATATATTTAAATTGCTTGGATGAAAGAAAATGTATTTATGTGAGTCTGATTTATTTCATGTAACATGATGATTTCCAGTTCTATCCGTTTTCCTGAAAATGACATAATTTCATTCTTCTTTACAGATCATTGTGTAGATATACTATACTTTTTCCATTTCAATTTAATAAACATTATTTTATGTATCACAATACAATTTATAAAATAACAGTGTAATAGAATGATTTAATATATTTAAACAGAAGGAAAAAGAGAAATTTCAGGTTATAGAACAAATAAAAATAGAATCACCCCCCCAAACGAATTATAACTCATTTTGTCTAAATGGTTTAATTCAACAACTGTATTCACAGATTAGTCATGTCTAATTCCTAAAAGAAAATGTAATTTTTATAATCACCTTCTCAAAGGATTAGTTTAACACCTATTGCATTATTTGAGAAATCAAAAATAGTTCTTGCTACTTTAATATTCACACAGTTGAAGTCACATATCCATGATGAAAACTAGAAAAGAAAATTTCTTTATATTCTCTTTCATGACTCCAGTGGGTTTTTTTCCCCGCAGTCTGACCTTCCTTATCACATACTATTGCCCTCTCTTGATCTCCTTTCTAAATTTTGGGGCTTTACTCACACTTACACCTAATTGTATACATACATGTAAACACGATAGACAGGGATTCACAAAAGAGGGAGAACATACAGTTATTTTTCTTTCTGAGTTTTGGTTATTTCACTTAATATACTTTCCATGTTAATCCATTTTCCTGCAGATTAAAAAATTTCATTTTTAAAAGCTGAATAAAATTCCCTTATGTATATGAAACATTATCTGGATATTCTTCTGTTGATGGACATCTAGGCTAGTTCCATTTCTTTGCTATTGTGAATATAGCAGCAGTGAACATGGATGTGCAGATATCTCTGGTAGTATTTAGAGGCTTTTGAGTATACGCACACAAGTGGTATAGCACCAGCTTTTAAAAATACTATTTTTATTTTATGTACATAAGTGTATCACCTGCATGAATGTAAGTACACCAGTATCATGCAATTCCCAAGGAGGTCAGAAGAGGTCATCTGATCCCTTGGAACTGGAGTTAGGAATAGTTGTTAGCTGCCAGATGGGTCCTGGGACTCTAACCCTGGTCCTCTACAAGAGCAGCCAGTACTCTTAACCATTGAGCCATGTCTACAGCCCCTAGCACCAACTTTCTTAAAATTGGTTTTCAGTTAATTTATCTAGTGTGACTATATATATATATATTCCTGAATTTAGAAACAGAAGATTTACATTGTAATCTTATCTTAATCACATAGCTAAATGGCAATGTGTAAGTAATTTAGGGTCTCAAAAACTTCCCCATGTATGTATGAATAGTAGCTAGGAGAATGCATCAACTACAATGTAAATGTAAATAGATGTCCATTATAAAGCCAAGTAAGGTCATGGTTACTTGGTTAAGAGCATTGTCTCCTCTTCCAGAAGGCACATGCTTGGTTCCCAGCACCCACATGGTGGCTAACAACCATCTGTGACTTAAGTTCCAGGGGATCTGACACCCTCTTCTGGCCTCTGTAGGAGCTGCATGAAATGGGTGCTACTTACATACATCCAAGTAGAGCATCCAAACACAAAAAATAAAAGTAAATAAAACAGTATTAAAACTCATAACATTGAATAAGTAAACCAATGATCTTGTTATAAAGCCTTGACTGACCCTGTATTCAAAATCCCTCTTGTCTGTGCCTCCTGAGTGCCGAGAAGGCACAAGATTAAAAGGTTTCAGTTTAGTATTACGTCTTCAATAATGGTTCATTTTTTTTCAGTGTTATTTGGACTTTTCATAGTAATCATAAGATTTTAAATGGTTCTACAAAATGTGGGCACAAATGCTCATTTTCAGATTTTACCTGGGGAAGTATGAATAAATGTCTGTTCACCCTGAATGGGTGAAGTGATCCAACCCAAGTCTAGTTTGGTGAACCAGTGGTACAGCATCAAGGAATAGTCATCTGTCCACTCTCCTTCCCACCCCCATCAAGTGTTAATTATTTACATGTCCTATATATCCCCTGAAATATGCAAGCATGATCTTGTGAGTACTCTCCCTTACAAAAGAGAGTATTGGGGCTGGAGAGATGGCTCAGCGATTAAGAACACTGGTTGTTCTTGCAGAAGACCGGGGTTTGAATCCCAGCACCCACATGGCAGCTAACAACTGTCCGTAACTCCAATCCCAGGGGATCTGACAGCCTCTTCTGACCCCCGCCAGCATTGCACACACAACACAGGTGTACTTACCAACATGCAGGCAATACATGCATACATGTAAAATAAAAATAATAAATAAAATTAAAAACAGCAACAACACCAAAGAAACCAAAAGGGAGTATTAGTAGACCCTGTCTTTAAAGTGTCTCCTGTGGGTAATCACAGCTGCTCTGATTTTTGTTTAGTTTTGGTCTTTTTGAGACAGGGTCTCCTTGTAGCCCCTGCTGTGCTGGAACTCACTATGTGGACCAGGCTGGTCTTGAACTCAAAGAGATCCACCTGCCTCTGCCTCCCGAGTGCTGGGATTAAAGGCATGCTCCACAACACCGGGCCTTGCTCTGATTTTTTAAGATGGCAATGATCCTATTAGGCCTGGAGGACAGAGTTCTACAATAGTGTGACATTTATAAAGTAATATGTTATTCAGAATTGTCTTGGCATTTGTTTGTATGTATATGTTTCAAGGGACAGGTGGGTGGAGCTTGAGGTCAGAAGACTGTTGTGCATTTTTATTGCCCCCCCCCCTTTTTTTAAGAGAGGGTTTCGCACTGGTCTGAAATTTACCAAATAGGCTAGGTTGTCTAGCCAATGAACCCTAGGTGTCTGTCTGTTTTCACCTCCCCTTCCTTGGGAATATAAGTGTGTCCTATCATCTCTGGCTTTTTTTTTTTAAATGGTGGGTATTTTTAAAAATGTGAATATTGAACTCAGGTCCTCATGCTTGCAAGGTAAGCACTTTACTAAGCTATCTCCCCAACCTCTTTTGGCATTTCTTTAGTGCTTTCCCAATACCTTTAAGTATAAGTTGAATACACTTCAGAAACTTCTTTTCATTTGCAATTGGTATTATAGCCTTTAAGTATGCTGCTTTATAAATGAAAACAAGAATCAATGCTGTTATTAGCAAGTTTGAAAATTTTTAGAATACTTTACAAGCATACAGCTATTTTTAAATGTTAATACCGGTTAGTTATATATGGATCTTGGTAATGTTGTTATTTGCGATTTAGGTGGTCTTGGAGGCATTGGAATGGGACTTGGTCCAGGTGGACAACCTATTAGTGCCAGCCAGTTGAATATAAGTGGTGTAATGGGAAATTTAGGTCCAAGTGGTAAGTTTTTTTAACTTTCTAAGTGATATATTTGCTATTTAATAAGACATATTTATTAGTCTCATATTGTATAGGAAACTCTGTTTTAGAGATGTTTAGGATGTCAACTCAGTCTGGAAAAAGAATGAGACCTTGAGAGAGCAGCTGACATGAAGAGGTTAGAGGAAGGTCAGAAGGCTTCCTCTGGGACCACTCATGTTGAAGCTTGCCCTAGTGCTATGAATACTGAAGTGTCTTTACAGCAGAATTCTCAACATAGTGCCTTGTACATCATGGGTATATAGGGTTTGCCGAATGACTGAGATAGCATAGCAGTACAAGTTTGTTTAGGAAGGTAGTTTCCTAGGTAGCTATTTAGCTGCTTATTTGGACTCTTAATTAACTTTAGAGATTGGTTTTCATACTTTTATATTCAGGACCGTTTATACTTTTTAAAGTTTGTTAAGAACCCTAACCTGGCTCTGCATAGGTAATTGTTTCTCAATATTTACTGTATTATAAAGAACTTTAATGATAATAATTGACTTGTTTAAAGTGGTAAAAATTAACCCTAACTCCAACCTTAATGTTGAAAACTATATTTAGCATATACAACCTAATATGAAACACGTATTTAACATAAATACTATTTTTAAGAAATTTTGATTTATTGATTGATTTTTTTTTTAATGTGTATGAATGCTTTCTCTGCATGTAAATGTACCTGTGCATTCAGTGCCCATGGAGGCCAGAAGAGGGCATTGGATCCCCTGGAACTGGGGTGACTGGTGGTTATTAGCCACCATGTGGGTGCTGCGAACTGAACCAGGGTCCTCTGCAGTGAGTGGTCTTAACCACTGAGCCTTCTTTCCAGCCACAATAAACTATTTCTTATAAAAACAAGTGATACTGCTTTTTGGCATCTCTTAATATTGGGCTTAATATCAGACAGCCATACTGTTTCATCTGCATCTGAATCTAGTTTGCTGTAATATCATACGTTACATAGTTTCTGGAGAATTAGAAGTTATAGTCCCAAGAGAATGAGAGTGAAACAGTCAGTAATATCAGAAGTGTTAAGTGATGGAAACAGTTTTGACCTATCGCTCTTTCAAAGGACCATACTTTGAGAATTACTTTTTAACTGATGTATCAATAAATGCTTCCATATTCCTTTTGTTGAGATGATACAAGCATAGTTTATAAGGGTAGTTGTGATCATCATTCTCATTCTGGGCCAAACATACTTTTCTGTTTATTTTAGGATATCATACCCTCCATTCTTCTAAACATATACTGCATCTATTTGTTATTTATTTTTAGTATTTTATTAGCTGTCACATTTAAAGGAGTCTTTACTTTCTAGCCTAATCTTCAAATCTACTATCATGATATTTCTGTATTGTTCTGAGAGTCAGCATTCAGTTCTACATGTTCTCTAACAGAATGTTGTAGGTGTGACTAGTGAATCTGCCTAATGTTGAAAGATACCCATCTTAAAGACCCAGGACTAGTCCACCACTATGATCTAACATGGTAAACCATCCTTCTGTATCCTGCTGCTTCTCTAGTGTTCCATTGTGACTAAACCAGTGATATCTATTTTGCTATAATGTCATTTGTTAGTCACAAAAGTCAGGTTTACTGAAAGCACATACTGTGTATTTTATTTGAGGTATGGGAATGGATGGTCCGGGTTTTGGAGGAATGAATAGAATTGGAGGAGGTATGTATAAGCATTTGTTTTTGCATGTACTCATCACCATTTTTAAGAAACTAGAAACTGTGTTGAGAATTCTATGAAAAAAATAGTCATGGTTTATTGTTGGCTCATGTCCTAAAGGCTACTAGCAAAAACTGAGCCAAATTCAACAGACTTAGGGAAAGGTGGTATGTTAAGTAGCTGCACAAGGTAGGGTAGATGAAGAACTTGCTAGTGATCGTCAGCATTTACAGGAGGTAACATTTATCTGTATAACTGGCAATCAGGTCTCAAAATTAATCTCTACTCTATAGGAATTGGGTTTGGTGGTCTGGAAGCAATGAATAGCATGGGAGGATTTGGTGGAGTCAGCCGAATGGGAGGTAGGTAAATGTATTTGGGGGCATGTTTATGCTACATTTACTTCTCCCTATTATTAAAATACCTCCTTTCCACACACTTAGGAATGGGTTCTGTAATGTCTTCAGAAGTCATATGGGCTCTAGAAAGTACGAGCATGGCAGGAATGGGGATGGGTTGTAGTGTATGAGGTAAGTTGATAGGTCGTAGAGTGTGTTATATTGATGACTTTTGCCGTCTCTTTCATTAGCTTAGACATGCTCCTGAATGGTTTGCCATGCACTGATGTACTTGAAGAAGGCTTAATTTGTTGCACAATCTTTTCAGAGCTATACCGTGGTGCGATGACTAGTAGCATGGAGCGAGATTTTGGACGTGGTGATATTGGAATAAATCGAGGCTTTGGAGATTCCTTTGGTAGACTTGGTAGGGCTGGTTGCATACTTTTTCCTTCCCCCTTTTGGGTTATAGTTTTCAAAAACTATTTTCTTTTTATTGTGGAAAGTTAAAAAATTGTAATTCATGTTAATTTGTTAACTGAAGAAAATATTTTAGGGATTTGAATTTCATAGCTCTATTTTTATAGTATTTTAAATGTTTGAACTTTATTTCCAGAAAACTTTTACTATGCAGTTACTGAGAATATGGTACCTTGGGAATTTTACAGTGTTGTTATTTAAATTAATTAGTATATTATTTTTCCATCCTTGTTTAGGCAGTGCAATGATTGGAGGGTTTGCAGGAAGAATAGGAGCTTCTAACATGGGTCCAGTAGGATCTGGAATAAGTAGGTTTAAATTTTAATAGAACTTATTGAGTAGTATTTGAATGCTTACAAAGAGTTTGCAAGAAGAGTTATTTTAATATAATACTTTGTTCTTATATGTTAATATGTCTTGTATTTTGAGAAACTTTGATAGTTAATGAGTTAAACATTTCTATTTGATCACTGTTTGAAATTTTTTTTGATATTTCTAAACTAACCTCAAGATATGTATTCAGTAACAAATCTAAGAACCATGTGTCCACCAGGAAGTCTGAGGATTTCTGTGATCATGTGTCACGAATAGCTTTTGCTTTAGCACCAGCCTGACTTCTATTTGATTTTGTACAACAGCTATGAATGATTAGCTTATTTCATCTGTAAACATCTTAAGCGTTTTAGCAGACATAGACAAAATATCAAATATTAAAACTTCCAGAAGTTGGGGAATAAGGTTGAAAGAAATGGTTATTTTCTTCTCTTCTTAAACCTTTCAAAATCACGGGCATTGCAGCACGAGAAAATGCTGAATACCTGCCATCAGTTTCCATAGCCACGTGGCAAGCCTCGTGTTAAGCCTGAGCACATGACTTCGTTTGGGCTATGCCTCCTGCTTGTCCATGTCTGGTACTTTATTAGCTTCCTTTAGTTGATGAAATTTCACAAACAGAAAGTAAACCTGCTAAGAGTGAATTCTAAAATCCTGTCAGCTGGATCCATTTGCTACCTTTGTGCTTTCTCCTCATCCTGTTCCTTGTTCCATCGTCTTTTATCTATAGTCATCTTCTTAATCCTAAGTTCCCTACCTTCCCCCTTCATCTCAGTGCTTCCATTTCTGTTTCCCAGTTTCTGCTTGTTATTAACAGAAAGCCGACTGGAAAATGGTAGTAATTTTTAGGATTTTCACATAAGAAATAATAGATTTGAGAAAAAGGGATTAGGTTTTGTGAATGGTTGTAATCAGGATAATTAAAGATAGGAAATCAAATCAGTGCATAAGAATGAAGTAGATATGAGCTAGGAGCTAAATTCTCAAATTTTGTTTAAAGGAGAATAATAATAGCTTTGTTTTTCCCTTTTCAAGTTCTATGTAATATTCTGATTATTGAAAATTGAATTGTATGGGAAACAGAGGTGGAGATACTGAGATGAAAGGTGAGCTAGGAAGGGAATATTGTGTAGGGGAGTGTGATATTATTGCAATATGTATGCTAGAGTTGTAATAATTTGAATTTATTGTTATATATTTTTGTTTCAAATATTATATTTGCTATTATTGGAAAATAAAAATTAAGAACTTACAATATTAAGATGATTGTTACAAATTTTAAATAATTTATATGATAATTTTATGATTAGAATATAATTTCATAGAGGGAGGGGTATGTAAATATATATATATGTAGTGACTAGAATTAAGATTTCTCAACTAACCAAATGTACACCAAATTCTATTTCTTGTTTTGTTGTCTGCATGAAAATAACTTTATATTTATGTTCTGTAAATGAATTTGTCTCTCTGCTTTCTCAAAACTGATTCTCCTTTTTCCTGCCTTTCTCTTTTCTTTCCATTATCTTCTGTTTTTGAAACAAAAACTTGAAACTCCCAAATCCTCCCCTGCCCTTCTTCGACTCCAGGTGGCGGAATGGGTGGCATGAGCAGTGTGACTGGAGGAATGGGGATGGGACTTGACCGCATGAGTTCCAGCTTTGACAGAATGGGACCAAGTATAGGAGCTATACTGGAAAGGAGCATCGATATGGACAGAGGATTTTTATCGGGTCCAGTGGGAAGCGGAATGAGAGACAGAATAGGCTCCAAAGGCAACCAGATTTTTGTCAGAAATGTAAGCAAACAAATGTATAGGATGCTTAAAATCTTTTCTTTCCTCATATACATATGTGACTGATACCTCTTTTCTTTCTAGCTGCCTTTTGATTTGACTTGGCAGAAACTAAAAGAGAAATTCAGCCAATGTGGTAAGTATACCAATGACTACAGATGTATTATTATTTATTGTGGAGGAAAATTGATTTTTAAGCTTTGAAACACGATGTTTAGACTTTCACCTCTTCTAGTTCCTACTCATGTCTGATTCATTTTCAAATAAATAATAGTTTTACTACCTTCCAAGTTGGAGCAGTGCAAATTAATAAATAACAAGGTTTAGTTTAGACAGTTTGCACAATAGCCTGTCATTGTCTTCTATTGATAAAGAAGTCTTGTTTTATTACTGTATTTTAAAGAGGTGAATATATTTTTGTATTAAAATTTTTTTTCTTGGGGATGGAGAGATTGTTCAGTGGTTAGGAGCACTTTCTGCTCTTGCAGAGGACCCAGGTTTGATTCCCAGTACCCACATGACAGCTAATAACTGTCCATAACACCAGTTCCAGGGGATCTGACAACTTCTTCTGACCTCCATGAGCACTACATGACATGGTTGCACTTATACACATGCAGACAGTACATTCATACACATAAAATAAAAATAATAAAAAATAAGTTTTTTTTTTCTCATGAGAAACAATAAATGGTATATTTACTTATAAATGTAGTGCTGAGGATTATCAGCATGACCCACTGAGATCCTGATATATAGTTCACAGGGAGATCCATCCTGTACACTGCATTGCCTGCAAACCACAGGGACCTTAAGGTGATAGCCATAGAACCCACTGTCAGACATAGATATGTTTTGGTTACTCTTCTAGTTCTTTTATAAACTGTTCTTAGTTATATTGAGACTAACTGCATTATTCTAATTATTCCTTAGTTCTGTAGATGATTAGGTGGTTTATTACTTTTAAAAGAAAGCCTTCTATGTGCCTATTTTTGTTATAAAATATCTTAATTGGGTGCTCGCTTCAGGAGCACACATACTAAAAATTGATACAATACAGAGGAGATTAGGATGGCCCCTGCGCAAGGATGGTACTCAAATTCATGAAGCGTTCCATACTCTTTTTTTTTTTCAAAAAAAAAAAACCAGACCATTAATTGATAAAGAGCTCTCTCTCTCTCTCTCTCTCTCTCTCTCTGCATAAAATAATGAAGAAATTAGTGTGAGGGGCATAGAGTAACAGATTTTCTCCACTTACATGGAATATCAATTTATAATCATAGTAAGATAGGCATGTAGCAGGTAATGATGAAAAGGGAGTTGCAAGTAGTACATTTGGCCTCTTAGAGTTAACAGAAAGTTATTATGTCTTTATTATTGAATATATCTTTATTATTATTTTATTTGTTTATATTTTGTGTTTTGAGACAGGATCTCGCTTTTTAACTTGGGCTGGCCTAGAGTTCACTATGTAGATCACCCAAGTGCTAGAATTAAAAGTGGTCCAGGCCTATAATCCCAGCTACTTGGGAGGCTAAGACTGGATTACCACAAATTTGAAGGCTGTCTAACCTACAGAGTGAATTCAAGGCCAGGTTGGGTAATTTCCTGAGACAGTGTCTCAAAGTAAAAATTAAAGCCAAGAATGGTGGGACTGTTGCTTAGGGGTAGAATGCTTGCCTGGCATGCATGAAGCCCTCTGTTCAATTCCAAGTACTTTAAAGAAAAGAACCAACAGTCAAATTGTACCCAGAAGTACCTCAGTGCAAGTTCATCCTCTGGGGTCTAGTCAGCCTATCTAGAGTCACTCTCTTAAAGAAGATCAGCTCTTCCTCACCCAGCAGTAATCAGCTGCCCAGTAGTCCTTTGACTAAGATTGGGACCTGCTGCCCATTTCCCCAGTTCTATGCTGGGCCTTTGACTGCTTGAGTTTGCATGGGTCTTGTGCACGCTGACACCATTTTTGTAGATTTATATGAGCAAGGTCCCAGGAGTCTGTGAGACCCTTGCTTCTATATGGTCATGCTCCACCTCCCCTGGCTCTTACAATCTTTCAGCCCCCTCTTCCGCATTAGTGCCTGAGCTCTGGGTGGGGGGAGCTCAGTATAGGAGTCTTGACCAAGGACCCACACTCTATAGACTCTTACTCTATGCTTTGGCCATTTGTGGCCTTTTGTATTCATTGCCGTCTGTTATATGAGGGAGCTTCATTGATGAAAGTTGTATTAGTATTTTCTCTACCCCTTGTTCTGCTGTGTTCTGTGAGCCTTAGGTGTAGAGGTTCCATTGTAGATTGTGTCACTTTGGGTTGGGCATTTCACAGACACTTATTCTCTGTGTGTAACCAGTTGTGGAACTCTGTAATAGTCTCTGTTGCAAAAGAAGCTTCTTCGGTGAGTTTTGACTGAGATACTTATCTGTAAATAAAAAGATCCATATTTAGCATATAGTAAGAAATTACATTTGTCTAGGGATGTGACAGCCTAAGATCTATGACTTCTCCAGCCATATGTATTCGGCTATGTTTACAGTACCACACATGAGCTCCCTCCCATTGCGTGGGCTTTAAGTCCAACTAGGTAGCTGTTGATTACCCCCAAGATACAAATGCCACTACTGCCAAAATGTAGTTTGCTGTGCTGGTCATTGTTGTAGTTATTAGGCTTGGAAGCTGGGGTTGGACTATCAATTGGTGTTCTTCCTTAGAACTTACATAGTGTCCTCCAAAACTATGAGAGCTAGCCTTCAGGGAGGTGGCTTCCAGGTCATTCCAGCTCCATTGCTCCAAGTCCTGTGTCTGAAGTATGTCCTATCTTCAGCAATAGGGTCTTACATTCTAGTTCTGGCAGGTAGTCAGGGCTGTGGCAATAGCCTCTGTAATTTTGGAACTCTCTTGGACTACCCTAGCCAACAACTGGAAGGGAAGTTTCTCCTGTCTGGCACTGTTTCAAGTTATATAGCCTTCAGCTATACACATGGACACATGTAGAGATACAGTATGTGTAATTTTTCACTAGGCATTTCTTTCTGGGTTTTCACACCAGCTGAGCTTTATTTATTTCTCCCCTCTCCCTATCTAACCCTCCCTCCTCCCTCCTCTGTTAAAGTACTTCCATTTTCCCCATTCGCCATTGATAATACCTGTCTCCTATGGTGTCCTCTCTCTTGAGCTCCTTCCCCTTTACCCATATGGTTCCTTCTATTCGCTCTTTATTCCCCTCCCATTTAAATACCCACGTTTTACCCATTTCCCCCTTGTTAACACCTGTCTCCTACTGTTTCTCTCTCACAGGCTCCTTCTTTCCCTTTACCTACCTGGTTCCTAGGATTTGGTGCTAAGAGCCACAAATGAGGGAGAACATGCGTTGTTTGTTTTTCTGAGTCAGTGTTACATGAAATCTGGTGGGGGGGGCTATGGGAGGATGTGGATGTGGAGGGGAGTATAAGATAATTAAGATATTTTGTATGAAATATACAAAAATTCAATAAAAATGTAAAATATTTTATATGTTTGTACATACTTATATGTATATAGTCATAAAACAAAAATGCAAAGAATTAACAAAGCAGAGTCATTTCATACATTCTTATAGTCTTTATTCATATAATAACTTTGATGGTAGAAAATGTTGAGGTTCTTAATTGATTATCTAGATTGCATTAATGTCATTGTTAATTTATGGACTGATAAAATGTAATAGATCTTGAATGTTGTGAGATATTATTAGTGCGAAGAAAGGAATGAAGCTTTCCATTTCATTTTGTGAAATTAAACATTTAAGAAGTAGTAATTATTTAATTTGTGCTTGGGTTATTATGCAATCATAGAAAACAAAAAAATCTTAACCAAGACAGTTGATGGCCCTAGAGGATATATTGTCTGCTCCTGGTCATCAGCCTATATTCATGCAACTAGTTCAAAATAGAGGATAGATCTTCAGTCTCTGAGTCTACATAGATAGATATGATAAAATTATATGATCTTATTTTATAACTAGGTTGGTTTTCTTAATGTCATTACTCAGCCCCTTACATTTAATCTTAAACTTATTATTTCCTGTCACTAAAGAACTGTATTTTCATGGATTGTTCCAGATAGTAAAAGTTTCATAAAGATCAACTCATCTAAAGAAAAGAAAACACCTTTTTTGGCCCTATCAGGGATAATATTATCTACTGGGTTCACATAGTCCTTTATCCCTAACTTTCTTACAGCTTTTTTTTTTTTTTTTTTTTAAATAATGATTTGTTGATTTTATTTTGTCCCAGATTGAGGCTCTTAAGTATAAGAATTAGCTTTTTATCCTAGTACCTTTCATTACCTCTGTACGTATAGTACGAGTTATGGAATGTTCATAAGCTCTCTGATCTAGTCTTCTTTCAGTTATTCATGTACTCATTAAATCTATGATTACTGATTTTTGGCAGCCTGCTAAACACTTTGAAGGTGAAAAGATTCAGATGCCAGAATTCTCAGAGGACCTGCACTATGAATTTGTGTACAATGTTGTTGATTATAGTTTTATTTTACATTAATTTAAAATGCCAGGATGAGATGCAATTCTTGTTAAAAGCAAGTGAGTTGGTAATTGTTTACTACTGAGAGAAAGCAGCATAGTAGAATTTTTCTGAAGGATGTTGGTAGCCTTTGTAGAAGTAACTATATGGACCAGACTGAATAGCCTCTAGCTATGAGTCCCTAGGCCCCAGAGGAGTGAACGGCCTGGAGAGATGAGCTATGGCAGTAAGTATGGATAATCTCTGCCTGTGTGGTTTCAGTGAATAACATTTCCAGATCAGATAAGACATTATGTTAAAAAGTAGAAATGAAATTTAACAGATAAAAGCAAAGTGGAGTAAATACTGACAGTGTAAACAATACTGAGTTGACTATTACTGTTTTTGTTGTTGTTTTTATATTTGAGACAGAGTCTCATGTATCCCAGACTGGCCTCAGACTTGAAGTTGCAATGCAACAACAATGATCTTGTACTGATCCTTTTTCTTCCACCTCTGGAATGCTGGGATCATAAGCGTGTGCTACCATACCTAGTGTATGCCATGCTAGAGATTGAACCCTTGGTCTATGTACATGTGTAAGTACTCTACCAGTACTGAGCTACTTCCCCAGCCTTCAGCTGAATGGTTTTTTTGTTTATTTTTTTATGAAACTATGTTAGAAGGTGTCCTTTTGAGGTCAGGTAGGAGCAACACTTACATCAAAGTTAGGGCTTTTTGTTTGTTTGTTTGTTTGCTTATTTTGAGACAGGGTTCCCCATATCCCCAGCTGGCCTGGGCTCCCTGTGGAGTCCCTATGTGGTCTCACAGAGAACCACTTGTCTCTCTGCCTCCAGAGTGCTGGGATTAAAGATGTGTGCTGAAGTTAGGGAATTTTGATAGACTTCTGCTTGGAGTAGGATTAACAGAACAGTAGCTATTGAAAGGCATTTTGTGAAAGGAGAAAGTATGCAACTCAACACAGATAAATTTGCATGGTACTTTAGTCATATTGAAAGGTGGCTAAATTATTGTATTGGATTCAAATTTAGTTCTGTTGTTTCCCTTCTGAATTAGCTTACTACTACAGGTTAATGACTTTCGGTTTTACTTTCTAGTCTATTATAAAAGTTTCTTTTAAATTTTATGTTAAGGTAATATCATACTTGCCCAATTCTGTATCATCTCCCCATTTTTTTAAAACCATGAATTACACTGATGACAAAGAAGTTACAGTAATACATAATTAAATGTCCAGTTATTGCCAGAGTATTAACTGATTTGTTTGAACTGAGACATCCATTTTTCTGCCATATCACTTTATGTATAAATTTTAGTGTTTTTCTGTCTTGATATAGTAAATTCATTTTACCTGACACAAGCAAGTAATGACCTCTTTGGTAGTAAAGGCAGGTTTGTTTGCTTGCTTTCAGTGTTTGTTCTCTTGAGCACAAGCTGAATAAGTAAATGTTCTTTGTTGCTTAGTGAGAGTGTGGTGTTACTCTATGCATCTCCCTTAAACAATGTCTGCTACTAAACTAACCCGCTGACAAGTCCTCCTGCTGATAAAGTATGTCTAGTAATTAACTGTCCTTCATGAAGTGATTAGAAGGGCTAAAAAAATTATGGGCTCAATATACCATCAAGGGTATACATACCCTCAATATACTATCTTTTGCACCTTTATAATTCAGTAAAAAAATAGTTTCACATCTCTTTAAATATAATAAGATACAAATGAGTAAAAGCTCTGTTTCCCAGTTCTTCTAAACCCTTATAGGCCCCCAAATACAACATTATTGAGGCCAGCATAGGAAGACACATGGCATACTTAGAGTAAAATAGACCTCTTTTTATCCTGTCATAGTAATTCCTTAGTGATATGTATTCGTAACAAGATTGAATATAGATAAATGAACTGACTCTTCAGAGCTGGACCCCCATGTTAATTCAGCTTATGTTAATGGGGTCAAATAATTAGCCTTTCTGATTTGCTCCCCTTCTGTCTGGGAAATATTCTGGTCTTCTGGCTCAGTATGATGCAGGATTGTAACACTTTAGAACTTCAGTGCAAAGAAAGATTGTTTTTAATTATTACTGCTATACACCATGTGAAAAATGTAATTTTGAGCTGGGCGTGGTGACGCACAACTTTAATCCCAGCACTCGGGAGGCAGAGGCAGGTGGATAGATCTCTGTAAGTTCAAGGCCAGACTGGTCTTCATAGTGAGTTCCAGGACAGCTGGGGCTACAGGGAGACCCTGTCTCAAAAAGACACAACACACAAAAAAGTAATTTTGTTCTAAGATTTCCATGATGTGATATTTCTATATCAGTGTGCTTGTTATCTCTACATTGAGAAGCTTGTGGTAGATTTTATTTACTAAGGCATGTGCTGCTTCAAGCATGATTAATAGACTTTAACAGTAGAACATTCATTAATAGTAAATAATTTCTAAATAAATTTCTCTGATAGAGACACTTTTATTTGTAAACAAGCACCATAACTTTAATTTTTGCTTCTCTTATAATTATGTTGTCTTCTGTTAGAATTGTGATTTCAATTTTTTTCTCTTGTGGTTATGTGATATTTTCTCTTTAGGTCTAATTTTAATGATCTGAAACTAACTTTTTCTCCTAAATCATTTATTTTAGAAAGAAAGTATATCAATTTGTGTTTTTATAGGATTAGGAAGAAACAGAAAATTTAGAACTCAGCTGGGTGTGACGATGCATGCTTGTAGTCACAGCACTCAGGAAGGCTGAGGCAGAGGATTACACATTCTATACCTGTTTGGGCTATAGAGTAAATTCAGTGTCAGCCTGGTCAACTTAATGAGACACTCATCTCAAATGTTTTTTTTAAAATGTCAGGAATATAATGTGGCTAGCTCATTGTCAAAATACTGGCTAGTATGTGCAAGGCTCAGTCCCCAGGCCTGTAAACAAAGAGCTCTAGACAGCCTAGAACTCTTTGTATTCACCTCACTGAGATATCTTTGGGTAGTTTAACCATGAAGAAAAATGTCTATGAACCAGTCTCTAGAGTCTTAAGTATCCAAACTGTGTGAAGACTCAGTATCGTAGCTAGGTGATCTTACTGTGTAGAAGACTTGAGATCATTGTGAGGTTAGGAATTTCAGTGTCTTGAGTGCTGATTTCCTAAACCGAGGGGGGCAATTTAAGAGAAAAATGGAGAATCTTGTCTGAAAGATTGAAAGACGGTTTATGTAAGAAATAGTGACATATTTTCTTTTTTTTTTTTTTTACTTTTTTCTATAATTGTTTACTATTAACAAAATATGAATATTTCACAATTTCTTTTAAAAATATTTTACTATTTTTATTTTAATGTGTATAAATATATTGCCTGCAGGTATGTAAGTGCACTTGTGTCACACAATGCCCATGGAGGTCAGAAGAGGGCATTAGATCCCCTGGAACTGGAATTACAGGCAGTCGTTAGCCACCAAGTAGATACTGGGAACCTAACCCAGGTCCTGTGGAAGAGCAGCTAGTGCTCTTAACCCTTGAGCCATCTCTCCAGCCCCTAATTAATTTCTTTAAATTAATAACCTTTTCACAGGATATCTTCAATACTTGTTTAATTAAGAAACATCAACTCTTAAGTTGTAAAACACCATGAATGTTGTTAGCATTGGAAACTAATTGATATTTGTATAATTTGTATAAAAGGGTTAATTCAAATCTTTGAACGTTTCTAACTAGAGTTAAAGTTACTTTATGGTAGCTTGAAATCTGAATATGCACAGGGATTTTTAGAGTCTTTAACCTTTAACACTGTGAATGTCTCTAGAAACATAGTAATCCAATTGGTTGGACCCAGCTAAGTAGGAAAGACTTTATCAACTAAAAAACTAGAATTTTTAATCTAAATTATGATGATAATGAGAGAATACTTTATCCTTTTACTAAATGAATTATTTGAAATTTGATGATCAGATTTTATCCATATACTAAGTTTGCGTGTTTCCCCATTGGGTAATGCCTTCACTTGCTGGATAGCCATGCCTTAAGAGTGGGAAAATGGTATGAAAAATAATTAATCCTACTTAGGTATACCTACTAAAGACATATTTTCTTTTTATAGTTCGAAGATTTGCTTGAGTGAACCCTATTGTTGCTTGTAACCCGATGGTGTGGTACTTAGACTTAGAAAGACCTAAGTTTTTAAGTAAAACTAAAATAAGGCAGGCATTCTAACCTTAAAGTCCTTAAAAATTCTGCATAATCCCTTTCAAAATCCTCGTAAATTCTCCCATTTGCAAGGTACTCTTCTTTAATAAAGTTCTTTTTCAGTGCTAGCATCCAGATGTTAAGAGAATTCTAGAAGTTGCACTGAGTTTACTTCTTAAAAACATACGTATCATAAGTCATGTGTGTGTGTATGTTTGTGTGTGTGATTTTTTACTAGAAAATTTCATTACTGGGTTTTTATGTATTTTTGTCTCATTTTACTAGTAGTTAGCTAAATATTTATATCTACTTTAACCATTATAATGTAATTTTTGTGTGTTAGTTTGTTCCATAGCTTTTGAGTGGGACAAATTAAAGAATTTTCTGGCTTGTCTTACAGGATCATGGGTTTGAATCAGTCTGACATTGTCTTAGAACACTTAGTCTTGAGAAGGAGAGAGATTGACTTCAGATGGTTTTAAAATGAAAGGCAGCCCGGAGGTGGTACATGCCTTTAATCCCAGCATTCAGGAGGCAGAGGCAGAGGCAGATCTCTGGTATTAAGGGCAGCCTGGTCTACATAGCGTCTTCTAGGCCAGGTGGGGCTACAGGGAGATCCTGTCTTAAAAAAGACCAAAATAGGATGTGTGAATCAGAGATCACTCAGATCATGGTTTTGAAAGGAAAACATCCTTATGCATTGAGAGTAAATATTCATTTCCTTCATCTGGAAAGGGCTTATACAATTTTCTGTTTGTTTGTTGTTTTAACAGATTCTCTCTTTTACCTTTCCCTCTTTCGTACCTTCATAAAACTAAATGTGTCTCCCTATCTGGTTTGGTTGACAGACTAAAATATTCAAAGTCTAGCTTGATTTGATTACAGGTTCGTCCAGGGATGAGGGCAGTATTATGTAAGTAGTCACCCTTAAGCTGTTTGGGTTGGGTCATCAGGCATCCTGCTGAATTGTAGTCTTACTTTTCGTTTGTTTACCTGTAATTATTAGTAACTCCTCCCTTTACTCTCAGGAGTGTTCTTGTGTAAGTCATGGATTTTTGTGGCCACTTTGTATTTTTGATGTGTTACTGATTTACAGTAACTATAAATTTACTGTTCTAGATGTTAACTGTATAGAGAACATTTGTCTGGTTTTGTTTCTTTAGCCAGAACTACTCTGTGAGTTCCCTGTAACATCATTGTTTTTATCTTTACTGATCTAAATCTGTTGTCTTTTATGAGTATTGCCTTATTTGATACCATCCTCACAATTTTGAATCCAGATTGTAATAATGCATAAATAAATGACTTTGTCACAGTAGGAGCAAAGTAGAATTGGTGGGGCCTTTTATGACCTGGTAGAAATTAGATTTCTGAATAGTTGTTCCTCTTTGTAGGGGAAGAGTTAGTGAAGTAAGAATACAAGGGAAGGAAGAAAGATTTGGGAGATTTAACAGTGAGCAAACTATTCTAAAAATTTTTGACTAAAGATATAAGCCTGTTATGCGTCATGATGAGTTTGTGGCGTTTGTGCTAGCTAGGCTTACTGCCATAAAGTTCACTTTAGAAAATAGGAATTTAACACAAAGCTTAATGTCCAATTCTAATTATATAGGCTAGTGTATGTATATATAGTCACTGTATAAAATTAACTTCAGAACATAAAATAAGAATTTGCTCATGATTATTTTTATATCATTAATATTTTTAACCAAGTTACTCATCCCAATTGCCATGAGAAATTTGAAAATTGTATGGTAAAATGGAGTCCATTGAAACAGACTAGTGATTGTATGACTTTTCTTTTGCAGGTCATGTAATGTTTGCAGAAATAAAAATGGAGAATGGCAAGTCGAAAGGCTGTGGAACAGTTAGGTTTGAATCCCCAGAATCAGCTGAAAAGGCCTGCAGAATAATGAACGGCATCAAAATCAGTGGCAGAGAAATCGATGTTCGTTTGGATCGTAATGCATAATTTCAAACATGGTTGGAACATTCCTTCATCTGTTTGCTGAATTTACTAGTAAAAGTCATTTTTTAAAGTAATGTTGTATGCTTACAAATGCTGTAAAAATGAACTTAAAACTCCCACCAGCTTTTAACAGTACAATGTTAAAAATATACTGTGATTTTTGTTATCTCAAGTTTGAGTTTCTAAAGACAGCAAGTCTGGTTGTTCAGTTTAAATGGATGGTTACACCGTTTTTAATGAAACAAGCCATCTTCTTGTTTTCAGTCTGACATAGTAGAATCTGTTCTAGTTCTCCCAACTTTTATCAACTTATTGTAAGTTAAAAGATAAATGTTTTCTTTTTCAAAATTTCTGCTTTATATGTAATTGTTTATGAAAAGAAAGGGCTCAGACAAATTAGGATGTGAGTTTGGTTGGGTTTAAATTTTCTTGAGTTATAAAAAGTAAGTGTTACATTCTAAAGTTGAGGATATTTTTTATTTGACTTAAATGAAGAAATGGATTTTTCCTTCTCCACTCCTCTACCATTCATGTTTTCCAGGTAACATTATTAAAAATATCAAACTCCACAGCCCTTTATTCTATTAGTTCCAATAATTCCGAGTTCATATAGAACGGACACTGTAGCAAGTCCCAAGTATAGCAATAGGCAGGCTACTCCCAACTTTCTGTCTAGTTTCCAGCCATTAAAATGAACTGCTGAAAACAGAAAAATAATTGAAATGTTTAGGAAGATGGTTATGTAAGTGAGTCCCTTGCTATTCACTTCTACAGGAGCTGATGCATTTGTAAATGCAGTTTTAATAAACCATGGCAGACCTAGGCATAGCATATCAAACACATTGGATCCCACGATGTTCGATATAGCCATGTCTCCTTTACCTGCAAGAGAACAGCATGTTGTTAAAATGTGCATACCAGTACTATATTTTATTAATAATCTTCATAAGAAAAACACTGGATACTTTTTGTTGTTGGTTAGCTTCAGAAAATTATTGTTGTTAGATCAAGAATCTTACTGAATTTGTATTTTTCTTGGGTTAGTATTTAAAGTCTTAACATTTATTTAATAATTATCTTTATTTATTAAACCATTTTTCAATAAGGTATGCAGCTTACTTGTTGCTTTTCATTCTCATTAACATAATTACTATTTAATGCACATTTCAGGTAAATATAATTTGGGGGATTAGGTTCGTGAAATTAATCTGTTATTAAAATAGTAAACTCTTCCTCTTGAGTCACTATTTTCTTCAAAGTTTGTTATTGAGGAAATAAATACTAAATTTACTTTCACCTGGTTTATTTTGGTCAAGTGGACGGAGTGCCAGTGCAGTCTGAGGAACTCCAGTCTTACCTTTTCTTGCAACTAACACACTTGCGATTGTGTCTGGTATGCTTGTACCTGCTGCCAATAAAGTAAGGCCCATTACTGTGTCTGGGATTCCTAGTGTTTCCCCTGTAACGAGCATAGAAATTACAGTTTATAAATCTGAGGTTTCATAGATTAACCGTGTTTAGAATTCTGAACCAATATATGCTTACTTGCTTTTTAGCAAACTATTTGAATCAGATTGGTAATTTGGATAACTCAGGTAGTACAGTTTTTTTTTTTTTTTTTAATCTTTTTGAGATAGGATCTCCCTATATCCCCGGCTTGCCTAGAACTCCTCATGTAAACCAGGCTGACCTCAATCTCATAGAGATAGATCCGCCTGCCTCTGCCTCCTGAGTGTTGGGATTAAAGGTTTGGGCCACCATACCTGGCAGTACATATTTTTAATGACAGATATCTGAAGATATTTAGTAGTTGAAGTTCTTGTAATGAGAAATCTCCCTATTTGGCATCTTTAGGCAAGTTGTGGATGTCTACTTTTACCTCTTTAAAACTGTGGCTTGCTATATCTGAAACTGATTTCTTTACTGTTTTCTCCTTTTAAGCAATTTCTTAAAGTAGTCAAGCATTAAATATTATAATTTACTCTTTTAAAAAGTACTATTTTAGTGAAATACCTGATTTTATTGTTTTCTTTAGAAAGTCCATAAATCTCTGAAGTAAACAAACCCTTTTTCTTTCCTATTTGAATCTAATATATGGTCCCAATTTCTTAATGCTCTCCAAAATTTTATATCAGAAATATGTTCATTCTGGGAAATAAAACCAGAGAAGGGTTAAGGAAAAGAGTTAGGGAAATTTAACTGCTCTTTTAATGTTGTAATTGGAAACAAGGTATGAATATTTTCATTTTGATTTCTTAAAATGCCAATTAAAAGAACAGCAAAAGATACTAGAAACATAAAATGACACTTGTACCTTTTTAAGGCATTCACAATATATTTATGTTGCTATATTACAAAGCAAAAAAAAAAAAAAAAAAAAACCCAAAAAACCCCACCATAATTTAGTTAAAACAATGAACACTTACCATCTTCTTAAAATGCTGGCTCCTTCCTCTGTTTTTCATTATGGAATAGAATTCAGTATAAAGAATTACTGTGAACTCCATGTAATGTGATTTAATTTTAGCATTTTAGAAAGATAACCTATTTGATGTCATTTATGATTCCTTGAGTTTTACTCCAGGTTGTGTAATAGTGAGAAATGCCCTTGGTTTGTAAGATGCAACTTATAAAACCCAAATGATCAGGTTCTGATACTAATTTTTAATCTTCTATATAAATAGTGCTTATTTCTAGTCTTGCTGAGGAAGGTGTATGCTCCCTAGACTACTTTAAGTGAACATATGCATTCGTTCTTACATGAAACAGTTTTCTTGTTGTGCTGTTATATTTAAAATACATACCAGTTATTGTGACCATCCAAACCAGGATGTATGTGAATGCAGATATCCATAGTGCAGATATGAAAAAGGTTATCACAAAGTAGTTTTTCCAAAACTTTCTTCTGCAATCCGGTGTTGTTAGAAAAAGTAATGTAATAACAGGAAGAGATAGTACCCAAATAATTCTTTTTAAGTCTGCTTCAGGGATGTTGAAAACACTTGGTGGATCTGTTGTGGAAAAATTAAACAACTTTGAATTTTTTATAATGGGCAATTGTGTTATAAATGCCTCCCCCCTTTTTTTGGTCTTTTTGAGACAGGATCTCCCTGTAGCCCCAGCTGGCCTGTATTCACTATGGAGACCAGGCTGGCCTGGAACTCACAGAGATCTGCCTGCCTCTGCCTCCTGGGTGCTGGGATCAAAGGCGTGTGCCACCACACCCAGCCAAAATGCCCATTTTAAATGGGTTGAAATAAATTAGCTATATCAGTTTTTGAACGGCTGTACATTTGAATACTTCATTACTGGTATTGCTGGCAAAAAGAAGCATAACAGAAACTAAGACAGATAATATAAGTTAAGATATTCAACGTTTCTTGACTTAAGGCTCTAAATTAATAAAAATGTCTTGGACTGTTTGCTGAACATGCTAGTGATGGTGTTTACAAAGTAGGAATTAGCTCTCCTTGCTTGACAGTAATGTGGATTGTCTCCAAGAACTGTGTTTTTAAGACTAACCTGGCTTCTCCCCCAGACATTCCATTGCCCCCTTTTCCAACACTGATGATACTTACAGTTTGTCCTATGATAGCACATGCTTAGGGAATATAAAAATTCTTTCGTGCTTTTTTAAATTGTGTATTCTAATTCTTACTGTAAGTAGATTTGGGGGGGGGGTCTGTTTCATTATATACTAAATTTAGGCTTCACAATTGCCAAAAAGAACCTAAAGAAAATAGGAACTAGTATAGGCTTTTCAATGTAATTTACAAAATTTGTATATACTTTTAACACAAAATAATTTAGACTGGTTCTTTGTGTGTTTTTTTTAATAAAACTTAAAAATTAGAGCAGTGTACCTTAAAGACTACAAATTATGTTTTATAAGGAGAGATGTCATGTTTCAATTTTCGAAGTGGTAAATTAGAAATTCTCTTCCTAATTACTGACTAAATTTAGAATCAGTTTTATAAAAAGTGACTCCAGTTTCTGCTTAGATCTGACATTGTCATATTGAAAATATCTGCCTGATGTTTAATGCTGTTCACATGGCATGTTTAAACCTCACCTGCCGTTTTTTTCTTTCTCTTCCTCCAAACCAACTACTTTCCTCAGTTGCCAGTTTGTTATAAGGGTTAGCTTCCATTGTCTTAGTCAGTGAAAGATTAAAACCTTGGAGCCAACTTTGCTCCCTTTCTGGCCTCCCACTGTCTTTCTGGTGCCAAAGTTTGGTAATGTTATCTTGGCTTTGAATTCTTCCCCAGTCTTGAATTCTGTCTCGCATGTGTTGTGCTCTTTCATCCCTACTGCCTTCTCTGTCTAGGTGTCTGTACACTTCAGCTGCTGTAAGAGCCTCCTACAGATCTCCCTTCTCTTCTTATTTCAGTTCTGTGAATATCGTTTCAGGGTAAGGTCTGTAAGTACAGTTCTCCTCATAAACCTTCCAGGACGTCTCCATTTTCCTTCTATCACCTTTCTTCTTCTTCCTTACTATGCATTTATTGACTTAGGACTGTTTATGCAAGTACTTTAATAGGCATTTTGTTAATGTTCCTTGACCTCAGTCCACACAACATGCTCTTATCCCTGAATGATTTATATAATAAGATTTTAGTAACTATTACTTATTGATTATAATATCAGGTCATTGAGCTAAAATCTTACCTATCCTACAAGGCTGTTCAAATGTTCCTTTCTCCATGTGAATTTCCTATCTAACTGTTCCCATCAAATTTTATATACAATCTGCCTAATGTATGAACTATAGTTACTCTTTTGTCTTTTTATGGCACTGTTACCTCTGAACTTTTAGCTCATTTGGGGGCTGGGGAGTTGCTCAATGGTAAAGTCCTGTACAAGCATGAGGAACTGAGTTCAGATCCCCAGGACCCATGTAAAAGTTGAGTGTAACAGAGACATACAGATCAGATCCATAAAGCTTGCTCCCAGCCAGTCTAGTCAAATTGGTGAGCTATAGGTTCAATAAGAAGACTGTCTCAAAAAATAAGAAAGTGGGCTAGAGAGATGGCTCAGGGGTTAAGAGCACCAGGTGCTCTTGCAGAGAACCTGGGTTTGGTTCCCAGCATCCACATGGCAGCTTAACAGCTGTCCTTAAACTCCAGTTCCAGGGGATCTGATGCCCTCTTCTGACCTCCATGGGCATTGCACAACATGGGTACACTTACATACATGTAGGCAATACACTCATTCACATAAAATAAAAATAATATAAAAAAATAAAAAATAAGGCAGAGAGCTATTAAGGAATGACACCCAGTGTTGATTCTGCCTCCATATGCATGGACAACCCATTCACACAATATTAGTTGAATTTTTTTTTTTTTTTGATCTTTTTGAGACAGGGTCTCCGTGTAGCTCCAGCTGGCCTTGAACTCACAGAGATCCGCCTGCCTCTGCCTCCTGAGTGTTGGGATTAAAGGCTTGTGCCACCATGGCCAGCTAATATTAGTTGATTTTTAAAATAGCTAAAACTCTTTAGAGGCTGGGAATTGCATTTACTCATCTCTGACTCTCCACAGTGTCTGTTACATATGTGATAACTACTCACTTGAAAATGAGATTCTCAGATTTTTCTAGTGGGTAGACTTAATAATGGGTAGGATATAGTCATTACCTTCAGAAACCTGACTAAGACCATGTAAACTTATAGAAAGCTGTGAGAAACCAGAATCTTCATGAAATATCCCACTGTCTGTCCTTGATTGCTGACGAGTGAACAGCTGGCTCTCATCTTCCCATGCCAGCAGTGTCTGCTGCTCACGTCTGTCCTCCATAGCTCTGGCAAGGCAGGGGCAGAAGGGACTGCATTTCTTTGTAACATATTGGTTGATTTTAACGTCGAAACATAGCAGCAAAACATACAATCCATATATCAGAAGTAGTAAAGTTCCTTCATACCTATAAAAAAATTTGCATTTAAATGAAGTCATTTTAGAGTAACTTTTAAGCAGCATTAAAAAAATACTTTTCTGACAAAAGCAGCATTAGAGCAATCAAGGAGCCATTCCTAGACACTTTTGTTCTGTGAGCTCGCCTGGCACTTTCTGTTACCAAAACGGACCACAAATCCATTGTCTATATCTATAGATTCCTTCCAAGTATTACGCATAAAATGCCTTGAAAATAATAATTGGAGATTTTCTTTTTAAATTTTTTTTTGTTTTTTAGTTTTTTTTGAGACAGGGCCTCCCTATAGCTCCAGCTAGACTGGAACTCGCTGTGTAGACCAGGCTGCCTGGAACTCACAGAGATCCATCTGTCTGCCTCTGCTTCCTGAGTGCTGGCATTAAAGGCATGCGCCACCACACCTGACTAATTGTAGATTTTCAAAATAAAACTAATAATGGATAATTAATGGATTATTTTCCACCTTAGTTCATTGAAATAATTATAAAAGAATAGACTATTAATTTAGTCAGATTTTCTGGTTTAGGAACTTTGAGTAGACTATTCAGAATATTTGGACATTGGTTGGAGCTTTCTAATTTGCTATACCGAGATTTAAATAAAATCAGGAAAGTGAGAGGGATTGTTGGTTTTGACATAGGGTCTTACTATATAACCCAGGCTGACCTTGAACACTCCGTATACCCCTGATTGGCCTCAAATTCTCAAATTTACAAGTCTCATGCCTCTGCCACTTGAGTGCTAGAATTTCAGGTCTGTAATACCAGGCCTGGCCCCTTTTTGATGATTTTAATGTAGCTGAGTTTGGCTTATATTCATGAGAAATAAAATATATTCTCAGAAATGAGATGAAAACAAAAGGTACCAAGAATTGTTTCTGTACTTTGGTTTCCTGCTTTACTGTCATTATTAACTAATTCGATCACATTTGAATCTTGTATATTTTATTTCATAGCCAGTGAGTGGCTTTTCTGCTACAGCTAAAAGAACAGAATTCCAGATTTCCCGAATGAGGGAATGCTTTCAGAACTTGGATACTTTCCCAGTTGGTCCCTTGCAGATAACAGTCACTTTCCAGGATCTCTGCTCTGCTAACAGCCCGACCTTAGGAGCCAGGCTGTAGCAGGATGTTTAGCTTAGAGATGTTCTTCCCTCCCTTTACTCTCTTTTAGGGTCCTCTGGACATGTGCATGTGAAGCTATGTGCTTTACATTTCTTTTATTTTCTAGTGCCTAACTTAATGGTAAACACCTGGAGATGTTTGGGCTTCTTTGGAAAGTTTATGACTGTCCACTAAATCAAGCTGTGTTTCATTTTCTTAGGCCAGCTCAGTCCAGAGGAGAAGCAAAGTTTTTTGTTTTGTTTTGTTTTGTTTTGTTTTATATTGACAAACATTTTTGGTTCTTAAAGAAGGCTACAGTTCCTTCTGTTTAGAGAGCTTTAAAGACATTTGAAATAATGAAGGGACTTGACTTTCAGTGTTTCTTCAATCTGTCATGACCATTACCACTTTTTAATAAGGCCAGGTAAGCAACAACCTAGTAGAAGAGAAAGGCATCAGGGGCTTCAACAGATAATGAAAATTGGGAAACTTTCTGAAAGGGGGGCTTGGAAGAAAGAAAGAGTGATAGCCTAGGAGGGAAAAAGGAGACCATGATGATGAGAGAGAAGAATCCACAGCAGTTGTGAGCAGGTTAGCTCAGAGACCTGGAGTGTCACGGGTGGGCGAGAAGTGAGTGCACTAGCACCTGAGGAACAGAATACTGCTAACATTCTTCCTGTAATTGTGCTTTATATTAGGGTAACAGTTACTCGAAACTTACCAGTAAACTTGGTTGTCAAATATTATGCCAAAAACTGCTCCTACACTAATTGCATATGCTGCACAGTCTCTGAATAGGGGCCAACATGATAGTGTTGAAACCTGTAAAATGATAATTTGATTTACTGTTTTCATTACAGTGTAAGTAATTCAAGTACAATGCTTAGTATAATACTATGTTTGTATATTTGTAGCTAAATATTGTTATGCTTTTCATATTACATAGATTAAAAAAAGAGTTTAAGAAAATTGTTTCTAAACCCGTACTGATATTATTCATAAATTTGACTAAGAACCTTTTGTGGATTAAACAAATCAAATAAATGTTTTTCTACTGATTATTAAATTTGATTGAACACATCACTAGTGCCATGTTTTTCATCTCAATTAATTTTAGAATTTCTCAAGACACTACATTTTATTGAATAGAGTTCTTACATACCACATTAGATAGCAAGCCACAAGCTGCACAGATACCAAGGAGATTATAAATTGCAGAGCCTAGAATGGTGCTGATGCCAATATCTCCCTTTGTGACAAATACACCTGTGAACAAAATAGTAGCTAAGTTAGAGTTCATTTGAAGAAAATAAAAATCACATCTGTTCTAGTTTGCTCTTCATTGCTGTGACAAAATACTCTGACCACTACCAACTTGGGGAGGAAAGGGTTTATTTGTCTTACATCTCCCAGGCCACAGTTCATCAGGGAGCCCAAGGTAGGAACTCAGGGCAGGAACCTGGAAGCAGGAGCTGGA